GCCTCCTTCCTCTCCTGAACTTTGCAGTGCTGCTCTCTTCTGGGCTTCCTCATCAAGTCAAGAGTCACCAAGAACAGGATCAACAGCGATGCTGTTCAGTCCACAGCTGTAACCGTGGGCCACACTCCACTCTTGTTTACTGATTCACACTGTGTGTGTTCTGCAGCATTTCTACCACACAGTCGCTGTCTTAGCAATGTTATTACACCTCAGTAGCACATTGTGGAAAGTGAATTTACAGGATATGCCGAGACCATTGGGGAATAAGTGGTGTAGACAGGAGGCTGACCCAGGCACCTTGGTCCAGAACTCTGTCTTGATGAAGGCAGGCAGTAGACTACTCATTTTTGCATCTGATGTTTTTGTGAACCTGTTTGCAACAGAGTTCCTTCACCCCACGTGTTTCACCTGATAAATTCAATGGATCATAACAGGAACAGCAAGAGCTCATCATAAAGTTATTGGAGGTAAACCCACATTTTTCTGCTAATGAATAATGGGAACCAAGGCAATACTACTTACGAATGTGATTATGCTTATTAATATACCATGTAATAGAAGTTATTATGTTAACCCTTAAAATATACTACTGCAGTTATTAAATGGTGTCATAGCATGGTAGGGAAAATAAAATATACCCGACAATTGAAAAAATTGTCACATTTAGCAAGAACTGTGAGGGCTATGTTGCTGCTGTTATGAAAATTTCACTCAGTGATCCATTCATAACTGTCATATATGTTAAGATTTGTCTTCTTTTGTTTTATTTCTCAATATAAAAACTTGCATCCCCTAAAAATAAGCCAACTCAGGAATAATGCGGGTTAGAAACATGGTGTAGAGCACAGTGAGGAGATTGAGCCAGCATTGGCTTTCTAAGGTAGCAGGAAGTCAAGGGTTGGGTCACGTCTGAGGGATTTCACTGTGTAAGTGAGGACGGCACCTCATCTCTGCTTACAGCAGCCTTTGCACCCACGGGGGTCAGAAGCACCAGTCCACTCTGTGTGCTCATAACACCCCTATTTCACAGAAAACTGCGATTAGGAGTGTGACGTGATGTACTATACAGACATACTTGGCTTTGAGTTTAGCACTTAAATGAAGTAAAAAAGAAAGCCGATTAAAACAGAATTATGGCAAATCTTTTAAAATGAATAATGTAAAATAGTAATATTCTATCTTAGATATACATTCAATCTAATTAACTGAACTACAGTAAAACTGTGCATATGTGTGTGTGTGCAGAAGAGCCACCAACACAGACAAGCACAGACAGATGGAAAGAAAGAGAAATAATTGTACATGTTTTACAGAATTCTACTGGTTGCTTCCATTGTGAAAAAGTGCAGAGAACACAAAACAATTCCAGATTCACAAGGTCAAAACTTCAATAGAAAAGTAAGAGTAAAGTTAGGGAAAGAGAAATCTCTTTAATAAAAGGTTTTGGTATAACTGGATCTCCATATGCAAATCAATGATAGTTGAACATATAGCATTCATTATATAAATTTAATAAAAATGAATTAAATAAAATGTACAAAAATATTATGAGATTTTACAACAAAAAGCAAAATCTCCTTCACATTGATTCTTTCCAAGAATTTTAAACAGTGGAGGCAACAAAATCAGAAAAAGGCAAATCACAGTGCACAAAATATAAATCTTTTTTTTTCTAAGAGGGAAATAAGCAACAACATCATAAGGCTATCTGTGAAAGGCAGAGAATATTTACATATCAGCTATCTAACCAAATTTCAACATCTAACTTAAAAGAAAATTTCACTTTGGTTTCCACAAATGAACAAACAATTGATTCCTTTTGAAAACTGCCTAAGATTTGACAGATGTTTCTCCGCAGAGACATATGAATGGCAAAAAGGTACATTAAAAAGTTCCCGATATCCCTAACCATCAATGAAATACAAAAATAAGTCACCATTAACCCATTTTTGGTGAACGTTTTAATTCTTTGAATTTTGCAAAAAATTCGTATGTATTACCGAGAAAAATTTAAGGGAAAAAAATTTCAATAGAAAATTTGTATGTCTCCTTGTTATATTCCATTCTAAACAGTAAACTCTCTAGGCATAACTTTCAAAATATCAGTTAACATCTGCAAAATAAAAATAAAATATTGCAGCATCAGTAAGTTATTTTTTTCTTAAAAATACAATGAAGGGAATAAAAGACAAGCCAAGACTATGAAAATGAATCTGACATTTCCTTAAATTTTAAAAAACATGAAGTAAAGATTCCCAAGATCTTTTCAGATAGAACCAAATATAAAACTATCCAAAATGCTACAATGATATAAATGACAACACTCGTCTAGGGCTCATGACAAAATGGAAATGTGTCTTTCATCAAAAAATATATTTACACAACCATGACATACCCATTATTTAGAAAATCTAAGAGCAAAACATTGGTCAAAACAAGTCCTGAGGAAGGTAAGAGCAGCAGGACAGAGTCCCTGTAGATAGGAGCGCAAATAATTCCTGCATTTTGCAAGAGCAATGGCAGAAGGATCCAAGGGGCTCACTCCACTGGGCTGAAACCTATGTTCTCATACATCTGGTGAGGAGGATTCCACTGGTTTCAGCCCCTGCAGCTCTCCCCACAGGGTGAAGATTGCTTATAGCACAGCTAGAAAGTCTGGAGAAACCTGGAAGGAAGAATCAGGACTGAGTCGATGAGGGGCAGGCACTTTGCTACAGAGGAGGACAAACATTTCTTAGAGAGGAGCACAGACCCAGCCCTGCCACCTGGACTCTCTGAAGCGCTGAGCTTTGCAGACTCCTGTTGGAGACTCCATCCTTCAACTCTCTGCAGGGAACCTTGTGCTCAGGGTCCATGAGTCCCACACCTTAGAGAGTTGGACACTCAGACACCCATGGGGCAGCCGTGTCATAAAGCATTTGTCCAAACCCACAGAACTCACAGGTCAGAACTGAACTCATGTGAGAGCCATGATTCTGGGAGTTGATTCGTCACAGGTGTTAACCCTGCAGAACACAGCAGGACAGGAGGGCCAGGTGCCGCTGATGGAGTATGTCGTGTTTGCTAGGGCAAGAGATTCACAGGAAGTCTCTATGCATTATTTTGTATTTTAGTGTGAACATAAACCTGAACTACAACTAAATTTTGCTGAAGAGAAATGGCAGAGACATTCCAGGAGAGATTTAGGTCATTTGTTAGAAATTAAACATAGCATTCTCATATGATGAACTTTACTTGTAGCTGATTATACAAAAGATTTTAAATTTGTGCCAACACAAATGATGTCTAACCACTGCTTATGAAAACCTTCTTACTTGGAAGACTTCTCTCCTCTATTTTGTGTGTAGGGTGACTGCTACGTGGACATTTTACCATAAAACTAGGATGCATACTTGTTTCCATTACACCTGTCGTCAGTTACTTTACTCAGTTTTCTGAGCAAGTCTTCAGCCTCATCCTCACTACAGTGTCATCCTCGGGGCAGCTGATATTCCCTGAGGTGCTACCACACTCAGGATGAGGGTCAGAGCTCTGTGTCTTGCACAGTAATACCCAGCTATGTCCTGTGACCTCAGAATGTTCAGCTGCATTTAGGCTGTGCTGGAGGATGGGTCTGCATTGAGACTGACCCTTCCCTGGAACTTCTGAGCGCACTTAGTGTCACAATCACCAAAGTGGTTCCGTGACAACCACTCCAACCCCTGTCTAGAGCGTGGTCTCACCCAGTTCATGAAGTAGCTGGTGAAAGTGTAGCCAGAGCCTTGCAGCAGACTTTTTTCTGATGCCTGAGGTGTGCTTATCTCAGCCCCAGGTTTCAGCAGCTTCCTCTGGGCATGGACACCTGTGGGGAGAAGGCATGAAGGCAGTGACCCAGGATGGGCTCTAGATCCCTCTTCAGCCCTGAGACAGGACGCCCTTACCTGTAGCCACAGCCATCAGGAAGAGGTTGCTGCACATGGAGTCCATCGTGGAAGTTGTGCTCTGGGGGATTCTGCAAAGGACAGTGCTGATTGCGGGATGCTCTGGGTCACAGCCACATCAAAGTTACCTCAGTAGGATCAGGTTTTTGTATAGTCATCAGGCAGGGATCTACTTAGTTCCATTGTCTTCCATATCAAGGAAATAGATAACGAAAAAAGAAAAGGAGAATAAAAATAAGGATTGGTGGTGAGCAGATATCACTGAGGTGTGTTTTTTATAAAAAAAAATGTAGGACATGTTGACTGTGTGCCCTCAGGATCTGGTCCTGGTCACCACAAAGAGTCATTTTGCCTTCAGAAGGGACATTTGAACCTGTGTACTATGAGGACACATTGCTTCTCACTATTTGTTACAGCTTGTGTTTAGGTGTCCCCCCAAAGCCTCATCTGGGTGTAGTGGTGTTTTCTTCGTTAGAAGTGGCTGAATTTGGAAGGTGTGGTGCTGGGATCAAGGGCGGTGTTTACTAAACCACTATCTGTGAGTGATTGGCAGACACTGCCCTACTCTGGCAGTGTGGATGGGATAAAAGGGGCAGAAAGATGCGGCTAAAGTAATTTCTTGCAGTTACTGCTTCCTTTCCATTAACTATTGTCCAAAGGCCACTCTGCCCTGGAGCCAGCCAGATAGGGACTGAAACCTGTATCAGCTGTAAGCCAAAGAAGCCTTTCCCCCTTGAATTTTGGGTGCTGAGTATTTTGTGTCAGCAACAAGAGAAAAGTAACTAATGCACTATGGAATCAAATTTAATTCAGGGACATGAAAATATGGAGTCATGAATGCAGAATCTCCTGGGGAATATGTCATGTAGACAGGAAGCTTCAGATCCTGACAGGAAATCACACTGGGCCACCCTCTGCACCTGTCCTGGGCTGACACTCAGCTCAGTGTGACCTGTGCAACCCCTGCTGGTCCTGAGGACCACAGCAGGGAGGTTTGTGTCTGGGCTCACACTGAGGTCACCTCACTGTGTCTCTAGCACAGTAGTACACAGCTGTGTCCTCAACTTTCAGGCTCTTCATCTACAGATGCAGTGTGCTTGTGGAGTCATCCCTGGAGATGGTGAATCTGCCTTTCGCAGATGTAGCGTATTCTGTTGTATAACTATTAGCCTTGTTTCTACTAACAGCAACCCACTCTAGGCCCTTTCCTGGAGCCTGGCAGAACCAGTACATATAGTAATTGCTGAAGGTGAATCCCGAGGTCACACAGGAGAGTTTCAGGGACCCCTTAGGCTGCACCAAGCCTCCTCCTGACTCCACCAGCTGCACCTCACACTGCACACCTGCAAACAGATAAACATCCTGCTCAGGAGAATGTCACACATTTCCACTGTTTATCCCACTCTGGTCCACGCACACAGTAATTACCTCTTATTCTTCATTAGTTACCTTTTAAAAGAGCAGCCAGGCAAACCCAGCTCAGCACAAGCTCCATGGTGAACCCTCTGTGCTCAGTCCTAATCACTGAAGGGAAACAGCTGGGCATCCAGGGCTGGGCTCCTCTGCAGAGCTGCAGGGTCTGGGCTCAGCTACTTTTATCAGCAGACAGTGGCCCTATTTGCATGTCCTCTGACTGTGTAACTATCATTTTCCATCCCATGCAGGCTAAAAGATTTAGTGCATCGCCACTCACACTTCACTCCCTGAACTATGCAAATTCCAGTAGGTGCACTCATTTAGCACCTTAAGTACAGCCTTAAGTACATCCTTAAATACAGCAGCACAAAACATGGATTCACCAGCTCTGAAGTATCCCAGATATAGTGCATGATTCATTGGGGGACATCTGGATGCAAGCCTGGGTAGTGCACAGCCTGGGGCCCAGGCAACGCAATGAGGCTATGTTAAAGTACAGACTGGGCCGGTAACAGTATCCGTTAGTGCTTATTAGACGGGAAAATTTAATCATATTCATATAATACATATGTATATATTTGTGTATATATACTTGAATTTACAACTGTAGGAGAATATATCAGACTGGCCAGTGCGAAAAACTCAGCTTCTCCAGAACAAAGTGCCAAGTGTCTGGAAAACAGCAGTCTGGAGAGGAACCAAAGTGAGTGGAGGTGACATCATAACCATAAGACAAGTGACAGAGGAGAAAAACTGGGACTCATTCCTGCAGAAAAGATATCTCAGCACCACAGAATAGAGACAGCACAGTGCACTGGAGGTGGGCAGGCAGCAAAACCAACTCTGCTCCTCCCTGAGAAATGGAGCCCTGACCTGGGCCAAGCTGTCTTCCAGAGTCAGTGGATGATGAGTGAGGTGAAGCTGTGCCCTGGCTCACAGTCATGTGGAGCAGCAATAGGGAGGTGGGTTTGCATTGTATGTGAAAGGGCTTGGGGCTCAAACTGGCTGCAGAAGTGCCCCAGGTTTGCCTCACCCCTAAAGTGCCTGAGCAGAAGGAGGGAAGGATCATCCAGTCACAGTAGAGTGCCCGCGATTGGACAGCGTACTGGGGAAATTCAGCTGAGGGATAAGCCCTGGAATGCCCCAGACTCCACCCCTGTGGCTTCCAGAAGCATCCTAGCCCTAACTACCAAAGACAGGAAAAGTCCTCCTGCTCTGCAACACTTCAAGCATCCTCCGCCAGTGGCATGATGGGGAGTGGGGTTTCTGCACTTCCCCTACTGTGCAACCTGTGGAAC